ACTCCACTCTTCTTGTGCAGTATTGCTTTGGCAGTACAGGATCTTTTATGATTCCAGACAAATTCTATTTTTTTTTCTAAATATGTGAAGAACATGTCTAGAGGGTAATTTTATTGGGATCATATTAAATTTGTAGATTAATTTGGGTAGAATTGACATTTTGATTATATTAATTCTTCCAATCCAGGAACATAGGATGTCCTTCCACTTTTTTGTATCATTTTCAATTTCTTGTTTTAGTTTTTCTTAGTTTTCCTTGTAGAAGTCTTTGACGTCTTTGGTTAGGTTTATTCCTAGGTATCTTATTTTGGCTATTGTAAATAGAATTGTATTCTTTAATTATGCCTCAGTCTCTTTACTGATGGTGTATAGAAATACAGATTTATGGCTTTGCATTTTCTTGAAAGTAGGCAACATTCAGAAACCTAGGATGGAAAAGGGACATCCAAGGTGGTCAGGAAGTGATTTGCCTAATTAATCATAATCTTTGGTCCATCATAAATGGATCCAGAATGTATAGTTTTAAAATATCTATTTATAAAGTGTCTTATTTTGGGTCCCAGAAGCAACTCGAGAGACAAGAAGTCAATAGAGAGTCATTTGTTTTGGAAGCAACCCCAGCAAGCACCAGTGGAGGCATGGTGGAGTGAGGTAGGGATGGTAAGAAATGTCCAGGTGTCATTTGCTGGTCTGTCATGGCCCACACCTGTTATTCAGCCTCTCAGGCCCTGACAAGATTCACTGAGTCACAATCTGCAATATCCGAAGATCCCCAAAGAATTCATAGGCAAATGAACTTTTGCAAAGAACTGGTGGCAAACATGTGCCCAAGAGCTACTCTACCCTGGGATTAGGGGGCTGCCCCCGCCTCACACCAGTACTTAATTGAGGTGAGCATATAATGTCCATACTTCAGGCCTGCTCTTGTGTGAGAGAAGAAGGAAGCATGTGGTTGAGGTATGTGGGAGCCATGTGCAGATGGGATCAGAAACCACCCAGAAGTCTCATGATAAGGATGGGAAAAGAAATGTAGCCCTTGTACTGGCAGCATAGAGAGCACTGGGCACCTGGTGGGAGCAAGCAGGAGTAGCAGGAGACCCTGAGATAGCTGAGGAGAGATAGCAGTGAGAGCCAGGAGACAGAAACTGCTGGATGGTGTGAGGACAGGGATCAGAGCCAGTGGGCAACAGCTAGTCTGGGATGTAATGCACCCTATAAAGGTGCCAGACAGATTCCAAAGGAACATTCCACAGGACAGTCTGTACTCTTTAAAAGAGAGCATCAGAAAAGAGAGGAAGAGTTGAGGGCCTATCTAGGATTGAAGGGCTCTCCAGGAATAGGAAACTGATGCACTCCTTGATCCTGGGTTGGACCCTGGGCCAGGGAGAATTATAATAAAGGGCATTATTGGGCAGTTGTCAAGGCGGGAGGAAGGTCTGCAGATTGAGTGGCAGAAGTTATCAATGCGATGCTCCTCGCTCTGACTGTGGTCATATGAGGTAGAGGAGTGGGATGTCCCAGAGTCACTCTGCACTGCTTTGGAAAACACGTGTACACACACAGACACACAGAGGGAGAGAGGGCAGGGCACAAGGGTGTGCACTGACAGCTGCTGCATCTGTGAAGATGGGCCACTAGGTTCCCTGTGCTTGCATCTTTTCTGTAATTTTGAAATCATTTCAAAATAAACAGTTAAAACATACATAAAGGGTTGGACTAAGAGAGCCAGATTCCAAATGGCCGACTGTACAGTTTGAGTCTCAGCCCCAGCAACTTAAAAGACAGCTGGTACAGGTGCGTGTGTGCCCCAGAGCCTGACAGGATGAAGAAATGGAGGAGAAGGGATTGCCACATGATTGCACCCCATTGTGGAAGTGCCTTCTCCCTCTCCCTCTGCCTCTGACAATAATAATAATAATAATAATAATAATAATAATAATACATCTCAAAGAATGGTCAAAATAAATTTTTTCTGATAATATTTTTTCACATATTAGTGGTTTTTTGGGCCAGGTGGGGTGACTCTTTTTCCAGCAATTATGTACATTTTTAACATTTTTCCATTATGTTTACTATCTCTTCCATGAGGGAAAGAGACAGGCAGGCAGGCACCCGCAGCATGGTTGTCACACCGTGTCCACCTCAGCCTCCACCAGCATGGATCTCAGGCCCAAGTTACCACACATGCCCTGTGTGTACAGGAAGGTCCCAGGATGTGATCCAGAGACCTTTGTATAGGTCCAGCTAAATTACCACCACACTCCCATCTGGCCTCTATTTTAAATTTTTTTCCCTTTCACTTAACTTTAAAAATTACTTGTGCTAATATCCTACTCTTCCTGTTTGCTACAGCACTCTCATGAATTTCAGTTTTGCTTCTAGCCCTATATCAATGACTCACAAACTGGTCAAATATCCCTGTTTCTAAGTCACTTGTATTCTAGAAAAGTTTTACAGCTTCTTGGGAATGTTTAAGGCATATCTTTGCTCATTTTGTAAACTGTTTTTCTTTAAAATTATAAAGCTTGAGCATGTAGCAGTCGGAAGCAGGGGCAGTGAGGGATGTGTGGCAGTCGAGTGTGCTGGGAATGCCCAGTGCAGTGCACACAACAGACCGCACTCTGCTGGCTCCTGAAGAAGACCAGGCCCCAAGGGTTATGCTGGGCCATACGCAGTAATGACCAGCCCTTGTGGACTCCCATGGTGCCTGGAACTCCTCCCTAATGTGTTTAGAAAAAAAGTTGCTTCTGCTTACAGGGGAAAAAATTTGCAGATCATTGGTACTGAAAACTAATTCTTTTAAACTTAATATTTTAATGCACAGTTTATACAAACCGATGTTCTTTCAATCCCATGGTAGCTTGTTCTTTACAAAGAAGGCTGCATTTGTTTAAGCATGATACCTGTGTAAATTGACTTGGAAAAAAAGATAGCTAATAGCTAAATAATTAAATTAGACTTGAAAGTGTGATACATTACACTCTATAAGTGAGTGTACTTTTTATGAAAAGGTAACTTACAATGGTCAAAGCTGGTTAAAATTTAGGGACAAAAGGTGCAGCACACAACTAGAGCGGGACCCTCCTTCGGACTGTTCCCCGAGGCTCCCGCCCAGCCTTGCCAGGGCTGTGCACCTGGCCTTGCTCAGCCCCTCCTGGCTCTTGGTTCTGAGTATCTGTCTGTCACTGCGTTTGTGGTCTGTGTCCCCACTTCCTCCAGTCCAGAATGCAGTGAACAACTAGGTTTCAGATCAATTTTCAAATAGATTAGCTAGAACTAAAGGTAAAGTGTTTAAAAAGTCAACCGAAGTATTGCCAAACAAGAAAAACAAGTCCAGTGGACTAAAAATTAATTAGAAATAGAGATTCTAAATGTTCTAAGCAGGGGTGAGGGCTAGGAAGGGGAGCAGAAAAGTAGATTAAACATTGCCAGATCACCCCATGCACATATGGGAAATATTACCCCAAAGGGCACACTTCCGTGAACAGGTCAGTATTCTATCAGTTCGGTAGTAGCTTGGTGAGCTGTGGGTGTGGGAGGGCTCTGTTTTCATAAATAGGCCATAGGTATGGACTGACATAGAGGCTGAGATAGGGCCAGGGCGAAGCCAAACACTCTCAGCCCTCTTCCGGGCCTTCTCTACAGAGCGACACCAGCTGGAGGCTTATTCAGGTTAGTCTTGGAGGGATGATGTTGAAGTACAGGCTACTAAAATGGCATTCTGTTCTACTAGCGTTTTCACCAGTTAAGATGAACCCAAGTGAGTCTCCAAATCCCGTGCTGGATTTATCTGAGGACTGCGTGTCTAATGAAGAGACCGTTAATGCTCAGGAAAAGGTAGACTTTTTCCCACCTGTTGAAAAACTGGACCTGAGTGAACTTGGAAAGTCCACTGATTCTTTAGAGCACTGGCCGAGTGAGGAGGAAATCAAACGCTTTTGGAAACTGAGACAGGAAATTGTCGAGAACGAGAAAGCAAAAGTCCTCGAAAATCAGCTCTTACCTGTTGAGCTACCGCCAAATCTCATGGCGGCATTGAACAATAAGGGGAAAGAACGTCCAAAGCCAAGACCCAGTTTCAGGTAAAACTTAAAAGCACAGATGTATTTTCCTATTCTTTGCAAAGTCATAAAATGATTTCGTAGTTATCTTTTAAAACATTAGGTCCATGCTTTAAAACCTTCCTCCCCACGGCTGTCATTTATTACGTAGTGAACACTAGCCCTGTGTTCAGAATTAAAGCTGCCCAGCGCAAGGTCCCTAGGAAAACAGACTCAACACTGCAGGTTATGTGAGAAAAACTCAAACTGGTGGTGAACTCGTGTGTGTGTGTGTGTGTGTGTGTGTGTGTGTGTGTGTTGGGGGTGAGGATGTGTGCACAAATGTGTGTGGTGCATGTTCATGTGTGTGGTGTGCATCTGTGCATCTGTGCACCTGTGTATATATGAGGGATCTTCAAAAAAAATTTAATGGGGAACATATATTATGAAAAGCTGCATGGATTTCAGAAATGTTTTGCACCAAAATAAACTCCTACTGGGACCAGCAAATTGTATAATGATTACATCACTGGACCCCCATGTAGTCAGCCATGATTCAAGTCCTGGACCGAGAGGCTTAAAACTCACGCCGGACCATGTGCATGTGTGCCCAGAATCCCAAGAGGAGAATGGAAGAGGAGGGTTTGCAGCGTGACCATCCCCACTGGGAGGTGATTTCTCGCTTTCTGCTTCTCCATCTCTCTCTGTCTCTCTGGTGAGCACATGTGCCCTATAGCAAAAATCTCTTTCTAAAAAAATAGAAATAAAAATTAAATAGAAAAATGGTTCCTACATTCCATTTCCATGCACTTTTTGAAGTCCTCTTGTATAAACCTGTCGAGGGAGAAAGAGAATGTGGCAAAACTAATGGGTGACTCTAGATCACGCGTTCTCAAGTGGGGTGCTAGCATATCCAAGAGGGCAACAATCAGCTCTCGGGGGTGAGGAAGGTCTTAGCGGTTACAGTGTTTGCGGTCTTCCAAAGCTCTGCTTCACCAGAAGGCATGAACAGATGCACAGCCTGTGGAGTTCAAGCTTCATAGAAGGCTATCAGGAGAAATGTGTCTGAAAAGCTGGGGTGGAGCAATTAAAAACAGGTTGAGAACATGCATGGGTCTACATGAAGGTGTTCAGGCATTTATTGCACTGATTTTTCACTATTCTGTAGGTTTAAACATGAAAACAAAACAAAACAAAACAAAAAACCTCCCCCCTTTCCCTCCATTTATTTATTATAAATAGTAATAATAAGTTGTCTAAGCAAATTGTGGTAAGCTTATTAATAGCAATTTATCATTTTATCAATATATCAGATTTAGATACCAGATTCTAGCCTTTGGAGATTTATTTGGGTGACTTGGGAAGTCGAGGCGGGGAACTGGAGCCCTCAGATAGAAAAACCTTAGAGTAGGGCCCTTGTCCCCATGGTAGAGTGGGTCCTGGAATTGTTTTTTTTCCTTTACTTCTTCTGCACCAGTGTGAGTTTTAAAAAGCCATTCCATACCTCAGTTTCCTCACTTGGTCAAGTTGTTGCAGGAACCCATATATTAGCCATGCCTCAGTCTCCCTACATGGGCAGGCTATTGTGGGGTAGTGTAGCCTCAGTCAACAGTCAGAGGAATAGGCCCTTCCTGGTAGCCTGTAATTTGGGGACACCAGTGTTGCTAGTGGCCTCTACCCAAAGGCCAATGGGCACCATAGGGACAGCAGGCCTGGTAGTGAGACGAATCACTCAGCCTATCTCAGGTAGACCTTCTTCATCTTCCAAAGTAGGACTTTGTCCCATCCATTTCAGTGACAGGGCATGGGGAGACCTTGGGAGAGCAGACCTGGCCCTCCCTGCACATGGGGGCCCTTTATAAATTCTTATTGAATAATGAATGGATGGATGGATGAATAAGACAAAGGCAGGCTGACCCTGCACACCTCATTCCTATGTGCCCTGGAATACCAGGACAAAATGGAGCAGCCCAGTTGAGTTTTAAAGGGAGAAGGTTGTAACCTCCAAATTTCCTACCCATCCAGATTGCTGTTTATATGCAGAGGCCATAGAAATATGTCCTCAGGTAAACAGAGGCTCAGAAAACACCACAGTCACATAGTTCAAAAAACTTTCCTTGAAGGTGCATTCCAAGGGATTAAGAGCTAGATCACAGCCGAGCTCGAGCATGGCATGCACTGAGGAGCCTTGACACGAGTCACACAGCTGGGCTGGATACCAGTGTGAGTGTACTTAGGGAACAGTACAGATAGGCATCGTTGCCTGCAAGGCGATATAGGGATTAGATGGTGGTGTGGGGTAAAACCCGACGCTCTGTGCGATTGACCCATATGGAAGGTTCTGAGTTCACATCTGGAGGCCTCCTCAGTATGTCAGGCACATGTGGGTCCATGCTCCAAGGCTGGCTGAAGGTGGGATGGATAGTGGTAACAGGACTCTCTGTTGGGGGTGCTCTTTTACTGTTTATCATTCATGGAAGAAAGAAAGAAAGAAAATACGCTTTAAGAAAAGAACATTATATAAAAATTATGAGGTAATTAAATAATAATGGTATGGTCCAAAAACCTCAGATTATATTAGGGGAGGGAATAAAAACATTCAGAATGCCTTACACGTGAAGCTCTGGTGACTGGACATCACTGCCCAGCCCGATTTGGCCATCCAGCAGGCCCTGCTTCTACGGCTCCTCCACCTCCTCATGAGAGGAGAATCTGAAGCTGTTTGCTCTTCCAAGTGTAATGCATTAAAAGCACTGACCCCCTAGGGACCAGCAGGTGGCGTGGTGGTTAAGGGTGCTGGGCTCCCACATGGCCGATTGCAGTTCGAGTCCCAGACCTAGTGGCTTGCTTTCTCACTTTCCCTCTCTCTCTCTTTCATTCTGTCCTTCCTCTGGTAAAATTAAAAAACAAATAAATAAATAAGGAAATAAATAAAGTTCAATAAAAAGTTTAGAAAAAAAAAGCACTGACCCCCAGCACACACTCTGTCCCAGGAAACAGGCCACCTGACCTCCTTGTTCTGCTGTAGACAGTTCTCTACTACTTGTGGTGGGCATGGAAGACAAGTGTATCTTAGGACATGTAGTGGGCTGTGCTGGTGGCAACCTGGGTGTGACTGCTCAGAGGTGGCTTCCTGGGAGGCTTGGGCAGGCTTCCAGTTGTGGTGTGCACAGTCATGGTCAGAAGGCCTGTGTCCACGGTTGGCTCTCAGCCCCAGGTGTAGAGCTCCCGTTTCTGGCTCAGTGTTTTCAACAGGTGTTTCCCATGAGGAGACATACTGGAGCATGCTCATCAGTTCCCTTTGGACAGGTGAGGAGAGGGCATCCCCAGCACTGTGACCCCACGAGGTTCCTGGCTATCCCCTCCGCCATCCTGTTGACTTCCCTCACAGGGGAAAGGAGGAGAGTAGCCAACTCTACTGACTGCTTACAGAAGCCAGGCATCTTCTCATGGTCCTTTCTGTCCCTGCCCCCTGGCTCTCCAGTCAGCTGGAAAGGAGACTCCTGACCCTGCCGAAGCATTTCCCAGGATGCCTGAACACCAAGGCACTTTCGAGTCTCCACACCCGACCGAGCTGCTGGCCAGGCCCTTCCTGTTGCTTTTCTGCTCCTGAGAGCCCGATGCCTCTGTCCAGGTCAGACGAGTGCTGGCGTCAGAGTTGAGTGGTTCACTCTGAGGCCTGTGCTTTCCTTCAGGTCCATTTACCAACACCGGGGCTGTTTCTTAGTAATAATTTTAGGAAACAGTTTCTTAAAGATTTCTATTACAGTAGCTACCATTCAGTGGTGGTTATTGGGGACGGGTGTGCTGCTGCGATCCATTCATCTTCGTGACATTTCCTAGAATTAACACACATTAGTGTTATGGATTTGTGCGGGGTAAAACTATGATCATTCTAATGTGCAATCTATCCAGGAGTCCTGCTTTTAATGTTTTAAGTGAATGTTTTGTAACATGGGGTTTCATTTAGATAAGAGTGGTCATCATGATATTGGTAAATATTCAGCTAAAAATGTGTAATTTTAGAAGGAAGGCACCCTCATCCTTCAAGAACACCCTACCTGATCTCTCATCACCATACGAGACAGTAATTCGGGCCAAAAAACTTGAAGAGAGTCGAGTAGCAGCCCTCAGAGAACTCCGGGAGAAGCAGGCTCTGATGGAGCAACGGAGAAGGTGAGTGTCCACAGAGCAGGGCTGAGTGTCTCCATTGCAGTCAGCCATGTCTGCACACCTGGAGTTGGGGCCGGGGGTGTTGTGGGACTGAGGGCCAGCGCCAAGGTTTGATTGCCAGGTCTTCATGGAAGTCGTTAGTTCCCTTTCGTCCTCACTGGTCCTGGTACAGGGTCTAGAAGCTGAGCTGAGCTGCCTGCTGTGGTCTGCAGCTCTGGAGTGAGTGACTCTCTTCTTAGTGGGGCAGATGTTGGTGGGGACCACAGATGGTCTGTCCCTTGTGCCCTTCTTGCCCTGGCCTTGTCGCTCACCTGTCTTCTTTCATGTATTTCCCCCTAATTCTTGTCTTCTTCAATCCCTTCCTCCTTGCCTTTGCATCGTTTACCTGCAGGTCTTTTCTCAGGAACGCTGTCTGGAAAATAACATGGTCGTCAGTAATGTTCATTTTGGTGTTGCTGCTCCCCTCACCCCATGTTGTCTCCCTCCATGGGTTTCTGTGGGTCGGCTCCCTGTCAGGAGGTCTGCTGGGGCCCTGTCCTCAGCATCCTATCTGCCCTCCAGTGCTACTGACCACCCAAGTCCACCCCTCTCCAGGTCCCAGGAGGCCAGCTGGCTGGCATGGACCAGCCACAGCACCCCTGCACCCCTCATCTCTTGGTGAGGGCCAGGAAGGGATCTCAGGGGGAGAGTGAGGGCAGAGTCTTTATTCTCCTAGCCCCTCTGTGAGTTGCCTGGGTTGAGTGAGTTGCACACGGCTGCCAATTCTTGCTTCTCTCTCCTCATGGGTCCCAGCAGCATCTTCCCTTACCTGTCCATGGGCCTAGGGATGGCTACAACCCAACCATGCCTGCCCTAGGCCTCCTGCCTCCTCCCCTTAGTGAATCTTAGGAAGACAGACTGAGGCTGAAGAACCAGCTTCCAGGGGGAGTCAAGTACTAGGCCAACGAGAGCTCTCGGTGACCTCACCCATCCCCAGCCACATGTGAGCACTGAGAAATTCTGCATGACCCTGTGGGCAGTGAGCCCACTGTGTTATTACTGTGGGGCATTCACTGCCACTGAGCAGGACAGTGTAAACAGAGGCCTGATCCTATGATGAGGGATTAAGTAATTCTGCCTAGAGATTGGGAAAGGACTGAAGATTTTTAAAAGGGAAACTCAAGTGTCTGCAAGGAAATTGCCTTATAGACCACAGTCTTTCAGTAGTTTTTCAAATTTCATGAAGAGAAATCTTATGTAGACAATGCCTCATGTCAACGCTCACCATGGCAGTTCAGCTAGTGCCATTCCCTGAAAAGGGCCCCAATGCCTTTACCTTGGCATTGGGGGTC